GATAAATCTCCTTTGCAAACAGAATCAAACTTCCCTCGAGTTTCCTTGACTTTATTTGATACTAACACAGTTTCAGTGACTCTCATGTATCACAAACTCAAAATAGTCCATGATGGTTAAGTTGAAGGGAAGCTTTTATATCTCCTTATGAATTACAACTGAAAAGTTTCATGTCTATGGATTTATGCTCAACTCAATAGTCTGGGTTATTGCAGAGTCTTTTGTTGCACTGATTAAACATACTTTTACTCTAATAAATAGTGATGCTGCTTACTATATATATATAACTATTTTATGGTCAGATTACTACCATAGATTACATGGGTAGTAAACTGCTGAATATGAGCAGGTTATATCATACCTAAATAACCAGAAGAAATGCTGAAAAACCAAAAATAAAAGGATTTCAATAAAACCCTGTCACTTAATCTAAAATATGTGCTAATTAACATCCTCGACGGATGCTTCCAGTTTAATCAAAATGGGACATTGCTTGTTTTGCTCCAGAGTCACAAGTGGACCTTTGGACCTTCTATAGGTGTTGCCAACTCCTTGGCAAGAAAAGTCTCTATTGGCTGTCCAAACACGTACTAGATGACATCATTGCCTTTTTTTTTTTTTTTTGGATGTCTGTCAAAGCAGCGCAGAGAGACGGGATAGCAGGAAGGAAGAAACATGGGGATTTGAAGAGTTTTAAAGAGATTTTTACAAAAACAAGTATGAAAAATACATATGTATATATATCAGTGGCGGCTGGCCAAAAGAGGGCCCACAACGAATGAATGACCGTGGTTAAGACATAAAAAAAAAGAAAGAAAATAACAACTTTCTTATGATTTAATTTTAAAATAAATAAAATGTAAATGTGAGTAAAACTAGCAGAAGTTCAGTGGACAGGATGAATGAACGGTAGCCGGCACGCGCGGATGACGTCAAGTCATTTGCCCATAGGAAGACGGAACGGAACATCTTCAGAACAGCTCCAAATGACACAAAACTCATATGGGTGAGTAAAACATGATGTAATAACATAAAATTAAGGAGCCAATGTAAAAAAAAAAAAAATGCCGTTCCCCTTTAACGACAAAAACACTATATTGGCAACACTACCCTCTACCATGGCTATTAAAAGTGACTAAAAATGATAAATAAGCCAACTAAAGTTTTTGATTATAGTATAACAACATCTAACAGACATAGAAGCTTTAGCAGGCTTTTTTAAGGAAAATTTTTATTTATTTTTTCACAATAGAATGATATTAATGTACCAGAAATATGTTTCTAGATCTATTTTTGTTGTCATTACATTATTTGTCTTTAATTTTGCAGGTTTTTTTATCTTTTCTTCTTACACATCAAATAATATAGAATAGAATAAAATCTAAACTTCTTTTTATTAAGCTTTTAATGTTTTCCATCATTTTAAAAAAACCTAAATCTGCACAAAAAAAAAGCAATGCCTGTTTAAAATGGCAAGATATTCCCTACAGCAGATAATTAACGAAAATAATAACTTGTATTTAATAAAAGGTCATGTGACATTTTCAATTTTTATTTAATCAAACGGCTAATGGATTTTAAAGGTTCCTGACTTCTGGTGTAACTGGTTTATCTACGGGTTAATATTAAGAATTAAGTTTACTTTATAGTGAACATAGGTGGGTTTTAGGGCTGCAACAACGAATCGATAAAATTGACTTTTAAAAGCGTTGGCAATGAATTTAATCATCGATTAGTTGTGTCGCGCGATTAATGTGTCATCCGCCGCCGCCGTCATCACTGCCACTTGACTGAAACAGGGGAAGAAAAAAAAAATAATGCAGAGCGAGCCAGCGCTGCAGAGTGTTGCCAACTCAGCGACTTTGTCGCTATATTTAGCGACTTTTCAGACCCCTCCAGCGACTATAAAAAAAAAAAAGCGACTAGCGACAAATCTGGCGACTTTTTACGGTGTCACTGGCGGCTTTTGGAGACTCTTACGTGAAAGCAAGTATCGTTCCTACTCTTGTCCTGCAGCAGCAGCTGCTGCCGTGAGGCGCCTCCCCCATCCCAACCCCGTTCTCCCGCAGGAATCCCTCTCAGCGCTGCAGTCAGAGCCGCAGGATGTTACCCTCAGCGTCTAGACTGCAAATGAAGCGCGAATGCGCCGGGATTGACGGCGCAAATTGATCACAATAATTAAAATAGTCTTTATAAATAAATTAACTTGCAAATTATGAGGGCAAGGCTTTTAAAGTTTAAATCTTCTGGTGAAGATAAAGTAAAGAAGATCCTGCAATTTATGGAAGTAAAGCAGAATAAAATCCAGCAAGATCAGTAATATATCAATTAATTATCTGCCACATTCCCATGTAAATATCTGTCTTTGGAGGATGTGTTTTTTAGCACCCCTAGTTCTCTCATTTTTATTCCAAATACAATTTATAATTTGAATCACAGGGCTATTTTTATCTCTAGGATTAAGTATTTTCTCAAGTAGCAACTTTAACTGCTATACTTTCCTGTCTTAAAAGGCAGCCCTCTTCTAGTCTAAAAAAAACTAATTTGCTGAAATGGGGGGACCTATTGTTTGAACCCCTTAGGGGCTTTTAAAAACAAAAATGCCTGTCTTTTTTTGCGCTTTATGAAACAAAGTAGCCTATATTTTGTGGATGTACAGCTACATTTCTCATGTAAGTTTGCGTAGTTTTAACACAAACATTTATTTTTCATATTGCACCAGTACAGTTAATGAGCAACCTGTACTTGTGTGCTTGTTTGTTCTGTCTAAAATGTTTATTTTGGAATAAAGAGGTTAATATAAAAAATATTTTTTGTCCGATTCATCGATTAATCGAAAAGATAATCGGGCGAGTCATCGATTTTTAAAATAATCGTTAGTTGCAGCCCTAGTGGGTTTATTGCATTTCAAACAGTAAGAGCTTTTAATTCAACACAGTTCTGTACCTTTAACATGTGCACATACAATAACATTTATATTGGCAAGAGATTACTGGGAGTAGCAGTTATTGGTAGAGGACATCCTGTTATTTCCCAGAATACTTATTGGCAGGTTTGTTTGTTTGTTAACCCTCTGTGACACCATCAGTGAGATCAAAGGCTACGTTCACACTGCAGGCCTTGATGTTCAATTCTGATTTTTTTTGTGAAATCCGATTTTTTTGCTTTGCTGTTCACATTTCCAAATATATGCAACTTGTATGTGATCTCCTTTGTGAACTGCATTCATACAACCAAAGTGTCCCGGATGCGCAGTAGAGGACGCAATGTTGTCACAAGCAATTGTGCTCTGTGTTTACGAAGTAAACATGCATAGTAGTGCCGGAGAACATCTAGCGATCTTTCCCAACCTTAAAAACCCAATCTTTCCAAGTTCTTGCCACTTTGGTGTAGCAAAAAGGAGAAGAGTGACCACTGTCGGGTATTAATGACATTCAGGACGGATGAACGTGACCTGGTTGTGCAGACACAGGTTGCATTTGAAAAGATCAGGTTCATATCGGATTCAGGACCACATAGCCAAGATGCATGGGTCGTATTGGAAAAAATCGGATCGGTGTTGTTCAGACTGCCATATATGGGCAAAAAAATCGGATTTGGGTCACTTCAGGCTGCGGTGTGAACATAGCCTGTGTGTGTTATAAAGACATGCCTCTTGGGCCCTATTAAAGTTTGCTTCTGTACAGCGGGTCAACTTTGGAGTCATGCATGATCCTAACCCACTGCACTGATCTCAAATTAGTTATTTGATTAAAATGTGGTGGTTAAATCTAGAATTGCTCAATTTATATATAAAAAAAAAAGTAACCCAAATGTTGCAATTACCAAAGAAATTTATGTCAAGAGGTTCCACTAAAACAGGTTAACTAAAACTACGTCACAGTCAGTTGCGCTCATTGTTCAGAGCGTTAGCCAATAGGCACAGACATGGTTTGAAAGACAACGGACTGTTCTCATCAACAATCTTCCGATGTCTCATTCATGGGGGCAGGCTAAATTACACATTTAATCTCACATTTAGTCTGGTTTATCAGGCTACCGCAACACACGTTTCAGCACGGCGCGGTACCAGGCAAACAAAGCGCCGGGTGTGTCTCGGGCCATGGATCCGAAAGGGAAAAAAAGTTAGATACCTGATGAGAACAGAGGATTCAAAGAAGAATGGAGCGAATAATTTGCTTTCACTATCAATGCGGAAGGATTGCCTGCAGTTTTGCTTTGTAATGAGAGGTTGTCAAAAAATAAAAAGTGTAATTTGAAAAGGCATTTCCAGGGAAGGCATGCTAAATATGCAGCCCACCACCAAGTTGGGAGTGAAAGAAAAAGTACGATTGCAGAACTTCTATATAAATTAGAGGAGAGCAAAGATAGATGTAAGAACAGGATTGCATCTCCAAACTCCATTACTGCTGGTAGTTTGGTTGCAATCATGATAAGCTACCCACAGATCGAACAGGTAGTTCTCTTATGCAGGAATTTAAACTTTCTTCCATTTTTTCCAATAAAAATATCAGCAAGGAACGCCAGTGCCGGAGGATGTGGGATTTTGGGGATAGAGAGCGCTGCTCTGATGGATGTCAGTTCCTGCTTGGTTCCTCGTGACTCAATCAGCTCCTCCCAACAGAAACACGTCCACCATAGAAAGATTCCATTATTGTGTTTCTATCATTTCAACAATGCAACAAAACCTAAACCGTGCGGTGAGTGGGGCAGAGCAGAGACAGGGAGTGTGGAATCTGGGGGTCAGTGTTAGTATGACCTAACCATACTTTACATTACCCCAGAGCCTAATCTAACTGATGAGTTTCTTATTCATCTTCACAGAAACAACGGACTTGTACTGAGAAGATTCTTTGTTAAACTGTTAAACTGGATTTTTGAGGAAGTAGAAAACAAAGGCATGCCACACATTTTGCAAAACAATCTGAGACAATGAGGGTCAATACTTTTGCACAGAGTTGTGTCGCTGTGCAGAAGTCATGCTACCCAAAGTCCCTCACCTGGTCAAACGCTGGAAAGATGTAGTCGGCAAACTGGATCTCAGCAATGGCTGTTGCACCAGCAACAGCTGCACCGATGCCGAATCCCACAATCCCCTGCTCACAAAGAGGAGTGTTGAAGACCCTGTCTTTACCTGGGAAAGACAGAAAAGCATGACTTAATCATACGGACTGATCAGTGAGGAGAAGGGGTTTATAGTATCGTTTATCGCTATGTTGATACATTTCTAGTCATGATAACAATTTGGATTTATTTTCTGGACAATAAATTAAAATTAGTGATCATGAAAAACTAAAAAAAATGGGTGATTTGTGAATTTTAGTTTTAATATTTTCCTTCTTTCATTAGTTTTTCATTAAAGCCTTGGCAAATTCAAAGAATATGATTAAATGCCGGCACTATGGGATGTTTAGTGATAAAAATCAAACTTCATGTAACTGGTAAAAAAAACCCTTTTAGATTATTACATTTGTATATTTTTTAAGTAATGCTTGTGATTGAGGGGGTTTAATTTCTAGGGCATACAGTTACAGCTTTTCAGTAACATAGGAACAACTTCAAAGAGTTAAAGTGTTTTTATTGTCAGTTTTATTGTTTTTACAGTGGTATCACAAAATAAAGAGACAAGATTTTAAGGTCACAACACACGGAGGAGGAAAACACCCTTATATGACCTTAATATCAGTGAATTATGTTGATGAATTTGCAGAGTGAGGAGAATTACCCACATGTGGAAGAAACAGTAAAGCTAAATTTTGTCTAAAAAGTGAGTTTATGTCATATGGTCCGACAAATCGATAAAGTGAGACACTGATGTGTCTCCTTTAGCTCCACTCACAAAATCCCCATTGGTGCAAAAACAGAAATAAAAAATGAATTTCCACTTCACAACCTATAATCTAAAAATAAAAAAAACCCACAAGAGCGGGAAACTAAATTAGGGTTCCGAGTGTTATTTTTGTCATCTTTGTGTATTTGCCAATCCTTTTATTTTTCTGTTCTGCTGGGAAGTGAGCTGCCGAGCGGTGAATTTCTGCCCTTGTGTGCCCCTTTGAGCTCATAAAAGTCAGCGAGCAGCCGCAGCGCCATAAATCCTTCAGAGGAATGAGCCGTAAATCAAAAGTTATCAAAAATTCAGAGCCTGAAGTCAGACCCAAACACGCAGCTTCATGTGACGGTTGAAGCAAATGACTCGTGCTTTAGTGTTTTTATGCATTCAGGAGCAGGTCAGCCAAAGCCCACATAAAGTTTGCCTATCAGCAGTCACAATAAACATGTTCAAATTAAGCTGCCCGGTCCAAACAACAGAAGAAAGTGAAGCTGGATGGAGGACTAAGTCAGTGTTGGTGTTGTTTTCTTCAGTACTCAGATGTGGCGGCGAGCAGCGAGCGAGCGAGCAGCTGCCTCAGGGCCAGATCAGGAGGTGAATGTGGTGCTCATTCATGTAGCTCCTGCCCTGTATTAACCTCTGCTGCGTGTAATCGCTGCAGGTGGCCGAGGTGCGCGCATCATCCCTTTCTGTAGTGAGAGGGATAAAAACAGCTTTGCGCTCATCACTGTACACAAGGATGAGATGGAAAATAATGATCCCTCTCCAAAAGGTCAGCACTTCTGACGTCAATAAAAACAAAGACAGGCCAGCTACGTTTGGCAGCATTGGAGACTTCTGGCTTTTAATTCTGCTTATGAAATGAAGAGAAAATGCATTCTGACCAGAAATAACCCAAATTAGTGGCTTTTTTTCCCCCAATTAACAGCTATGATGGTGCTGTTACTGGCTGGATTTAAAAGGCCCCTGACCAGTTCGATTCAGTCATTTCACTGTCGTATTTATTGTCTTTAGTGGAATTACCTATTTAGCTAACAGAGCCACTGTCGGCCAGACTAACCGGATTTCACAAAACAAGCAACTATTTGAAAAAGAAAATGACATAAAGACGTTTGCACCTGAGGTTCAGAACTCAGAAATTTGGGCCAAGCGTTTTTCCAAGACTTATTCAAAAGGGGAAAAAACTACTGCTGTACATAAGAGTCCGTTTGTGGAGAGGAGCTTAAACAGGACATAATGTCACCTACTGACGCTCTCCTTTAAATAACTAAACTAAAGCATATGTCTAAGAGTTCTAACACTATAATGCAGAAAACTGATTCATTATTTCTGATGGTTTCATAACGCCATTAGATCTCCGTCTTTAACTGCATAAACAGGGGTCTCTAACGCTGGTCCTTAAGATCTGTCCTGCAGGTTTTAGATGCATCCCTGAGGTCAACAGTTGTTTAAACACGATTCTGTAAAACATGCTATTTAATTTCAAATCAAACCAAGCTGACAGGGATTTTTTTTCTAAAAATTGTGCAGCATCGTAATACTCAGACGCCATATTTACCAACTGGTCAAATTGCACGAAAATGATCAAAGGTTGGGGTTGTAAAAAATAACTGACCTATAATTAATTGATGACGAATGGTTTATTAGACTATAATTAGTTAAATCTCATTAAAAATATAGAGGACGATATTTTATTTCCGGGTGGAGAGCTCTCCTTGCAAAGTACTATGGGTACAGGCACCGCAAGGAGAACAAGCAAAAAGCAGTGATCATCTGTCTGAACGGTCAGTTAATCGAGTTCACTATAAAGGCCCCGCTGTATGTGAATAAAGTAAGCTTTAATGAGCTATGAGAACAACACATTTTAAACAGGGTGTGTATGAGGAGAAATGGCTTGTGCAAGCTCTCTTGCACATGCATTTTTTTTTTTTTGTGGAAAGGGCTGGTCTTTAAAAAAAAAATAAAAAATCCTCCATAATACCTCTAACTGATCATATCCACCTAAAAGGAATTTTTCAGTGTTGTAGTGTCACAGTCGTCCAGTAGTAGGCCCCACTGTTCATTCTGCAGCGAATGCTCCCTGGTAAGAAATGCTGGAGTGGAGGCCTACTAGCGCATACAACATGAATCGGTCCAGAGTCCAGCCTGGATTATTTACATTTTCATACATTTACAGAGTTTGGCCAGAATAGACGCTTAATACTCCGTCGCAGAGTAATATATGCCCGCCGGTTAATCGAGCAGGAAGCTCTTGGGAGTCGCAGATTTTCAACCTCATTACATGAAGCTGCCAGGAATCTCATGTTTTAGTGTTATAACTAGGGATGTCCCGATACAACTTATTCCTTTCTGATATTGATACTGATATTGCACCTCTGAGAACTGAGCGATACTGATATTAACACGATACGATGTCGACTTGAATCGTACATACTTTAATACTTATTTGGTAGTGTTGAATGTTAGAAAAGGTTTGATCAAAAGGTATCACTCGAAAAGAACAATAATCAACTACAGTAGGTATGAGAACTGACCCATGCGTCATTAACTGATGGGTTACAGAAACTTTAGACGGAATCTGAGTGTTTGTATCAGGGTTACAATTGCAGAAATTTTAGGAGCAGGGCGACATAATCCCAGATTAGCTTTTTGCCTGTATCTGATCTATGTTAAATATCAATGTCAATGCGAAAATGTTTTTTGTTTTTTATGTGAGTTCATTCAAAGCAGAAAAGGCCACAAGAGGGTGCTCTAAAATAAATGGTTAATTTTGATCCTCCTCCTGTATTGACCTCAATCCTGGAAGGTTGCTAACATTAGCCCGCCATGCTATCCCCACTTCAGTCAGTTTTAAGCCAAAAGAAGCGATTCCACCAATCAGGGACTCCCCTCCAGGCAGTCAGTAAATGTTACTACTTGTATAACGTTTTAAGTATTGTGTAAAAGACTCATAAACAATAATGTACAAAACTAATAATGCTGCTAACGCTACATCCACTTCAACTCATACACACAAGTCAAATTCTAGTGCGCACTTTTCCAAGGGAAAAGGTAGGGGTCTGAATGAGCTCCATTTAATTTATTTTATCCTAAAGCCCATTAAATATGAAATTAAAGACTATTTAAGGTGGACTGTTGAATTAAATACCGGGTTGTGACTCGTTTAAGTAAACGGGAGTCATAAACTCAATGATGACTTAATCTAATCCTCATAAGTAGCATTTAGGGGTTTTAAACAACTGCAAGAATGCAACAGTAAAATAATATATTAGATATCTCATCTTTTGTTGTAGATCACTGCTCATTTTTTACCTCTGAACTAAAAAATGATAAAGAACTATTTACTACATATGTGGATGAATTCTAACTACTATTGTCAGCAAACCCAGAAACCTTTCTAGAGGATTTTGAACAAACTTATTCATTTTCTAGCAATTTTCCCACCACTAGATCCTTCATGGAGTGATTCATCCAGTCACTTCCATTACCCTAAAAGGTAAGCAACTGCGTAAACAGATAACAGGGGTTAGCCTTCTGTAGTTGCCTCAGCTCTAAAGAACAAGAGTCATATTGAAGGCCAAAGCTATCCTTGCTGACCTAAGCTTCCCTCTTTCCCATAATTACAGGTTGCTGCCATCTGCTTGCAGATCTGTGATAATTAAGTGCATTACGAAAAGGTAGAAATGTTCATCTGGTCCTGTCAGTCTGTCTCATTAATAATTCACCCGGCAAGTAGAGGCTGTTGGCGGTTAAGCTTGTAAACTGGTTGTAATGCCTATCTTGTATTTCTGTCAAATGTATTCATATTTTACTGTTTTGTCTGCTAAAAATCTACAAGTTGAGAATAAGAAAGTTAATCTAGATTACAATCTGATAAGATTTAAGGATATAAATAAATGTAGTAATTACATGCTGTTCAGCAGCATAGCTGAACTAGACAAGCCAAGCCAACTTTATTTATAAAGCTCTTTAAAAAACGGCAGTCTGTCCAAAATGATGAAAGAAAGAATGAGAAAAACACATGGAATATTTAAAATTAGAAATAAAGAGAAACAAGAGAAAACAAGACAGAAAGGAAGGAACTAACAAAATAAACAACTCATTCTGGGGCAGAAGCCATACAGAAGAAACGGGCCTTAAAAGCACACTCACAAATGGACATTGGTAGATAATTGTAGAGCCAAACATTTTATCATCAATGTTATCATTATTGCAATTAGAAAAAATAATTAAAACACACTCTTAATAATTTTATAATAAAATGTCATGTCAACAAATCCCCTGGCAAATTTTTATCACTGAAAACCTGAATAGGATCTTTCTAAACCCCATATAGCTATAAAGATTTATTCCTCATAAACAAATTCTTTTTAGAAATGTTCAAATTTCTCCTTGAAAATACATTTAAAAAAAACTGTTAAGCAGAATGTTTTACTATGAAGCAGCTGTGCTGTCTGTCAAAGAGAATCTATAAATCATAGGAAAAGCAGAGGAAAGATTAGCACTTTTAAACTATTTACTTCCCCAGAGAAGAAGGACTGATCTTTTCACCTCATGAGACTTAAACGCCTCCAAATTAGGGTACCGACTGCTAGCCCACACAAGGGGTGACTTTGAGATTGACGGTCATTTTTCATCAACTCTGCTAAACTGTGTTGGGATGCAGCATCTTTCTGCATGGAGAATACCTACCAGACAGATTTTATCGAGGATGTTCTTCAATCTAAAACCCAAGGAGTCAGATTATGTAATTCCCTTTATTGCCCCACAATGGGGAAATTCACTCTCTGCATTTAACCCATCCCCCTGGGGAGCAGTGGGCTGCCATTGTGTGGCGTCCGGGGAGCAGTCGGGGGTTAAGGGTTTTTCTTAGGAAACCAGAGTGCAGGCTCAAACCGGTTACTTGCAACCTTCCCAGAGCTCAAGTGAACTGCTCTAACCACTAGACCAACACTTACCATAGACGGCATCATATCACTGGTTTATCTGTGAAAGGCTCTACTGCCGCGAGGCACACGTGCAAAATGTGATGACAGATTCTCCTGGTCCCTCAGGTGCACCTTTTTGATTTTTCACCAGCACATGAAGCAAGCAGCTTAGTTTTTACTTTATGCTCTGCTGCCATCTAGTGGTGTTACACAGCAGGCTCAGGACTGTATCTTACCATATTTGTCTCTCAGGCCAACAGTGCACCGGAATACTCCTCCAAAGGCAACATCTTCTCCAAAGATGACTGTGGGTGAAAAACAGAAAACATCCGGAGGGTTCAATTTATTCAATTTACTTAAAAAAAAAAAAAAAAAAAACTTTGGTCTAAAATGAAAATTTCCTGCCCCTTTCTCTTTAGTTTTCTCAACTGATCAACATTTGATTCCAATTTTTCTGAAAGGTTTTCTATCAATTATATCACAATAAAATGTATCTTAATACAACTTTATTTATTTTAAACAGTTTGTATTCAGCTGTCAATTCGGTTGAACTTGCCAATAAGAACACAGGCCCACCCCATCACATGTTTTTCACATCTAAAGAAAAATACTGAATCTCAGCAATCATCTCGAATCATTTCCCAGATGTCCATTTATCTATTTACTCTATGACAAAATATTTTCTCTAAATACGTTTTCTTCAGTCTCAAATAAAATCAGATTTTTCTATCAGTGTGATTTTTTTTCTCTAATATATTTATTTTCCCCTTTCAGGTCTCCTTTTTTTGCTTGAATTTTATAAAAACACAAAAATAAAGCAGTGGCTTGATGTTAGTTTGCTCCCAACCTCTAAACTGTAAGTCAACTCTAGGAAGACATATAAGTAATATAATGTCCTGAGTGCTGACAGCTCTAAGATGTTTTTTACTTTTATTTTCTTTTTTTTTTATAGTCCAATACTTTTACTCAGGTTTTATTTCACAATTTTTTAATTAGATTCCCAGATGATCCTGCATTTACTTATTGTACTAAATTGTCATCTTTGTTCAGTGTGCTAAAATCATCATTTTTTTTGTTACCTAGTATCATGAGCTGTGTTTTTGTTCTAATTTAGAGAAAAATGTAGTGCAATGAAACCACTTAAATTTACACATCTCACATGCCAGATGTTCAATTATGATTTTTTAATTAACTCCTAGAAAAGAATCTATTTGTGTGCGACATTTTAGACTACTCGCAAATGTGTTGATAATACAAAATAAAAGGCTTTGGTCCTGGAACTGTAACTTAATGGAAACAACCCTAAAGCCATTCATTTCTTTAGAGCACAAAGTGTATGGACTAAAAACCTCAGACTAAAAACAAAGACTTTAACATTGCTTTAGCATTGCTCTTGGTGCAAATGTGTGCCACTCATTATTTCCCCGTCTCCTTTAAAATTCCACTTACAGGTGTTCTAGGAGACCTACCTGCTGTCGGATCACTGGCGAGCGTGTTGTCCAAGGCACTTGTAATTGACTGGAACAAGTTCATCTTCTGTGTGGAACCTAACCATCGGCAGAAAAATAAAACCGACCAGTTAATGTTCAACAGCAATATGAGAGATAACTGTTCAAGCAATGGAATCAGTATGAAAAATAAAACCTGGCCCCCAACGATGCCACCAACATCCTTTGCTACAATGGCAGTACAAATTTGACTACAAAGTGTTTAAGTGGAAACATGAAATATATACACAGGGAATCACTCAGTGAATTTTAGATGGCAACTGCTTCGATTTATGTTTAAGCTAAAGTTAGGTGACGCATTGGTTAAAAAAAAAATACAGACGCTAACAGAAAACCCATTCATTAGACATAAGGAGTTTTTTCAGCAAAACAGTAAAAGAGTGGAAGCTTATTCCTGGAAAGTTAATATTATAATGCAGTAAGTTTGATAAAAAAATATATTGTTTATTGCTAATTTTCTGATATTTTAAAGTCACACAAAGGTGCTATGAAAAGGTGTTTCTTTGTCATCATTATGTTAGTAGACAGCTTCATAGATGGGTTCACAAGCAAGGACACCTGCTGATTTAAAGATGGGACCGATTTACTGGGATATGCAATAAAATATATGGTTATTAAATTTTAAAACACAAACAATATTCTATGCGACATTTAAAATGCTTCATAGCTTCTTGTCTTTTGTAATTCAACAAGACAGAAATAGTCTTATAGGGCTGCAACTAACGATTATTTTGAAAATCGATGAATCGGCCGATTATTTTTTCGATTAATCGATGAATCGGACACAAAATATTTTTTTTTATATTAACCTCTTTATTCCAAAATAAACATTTTAGACAGAACAAACAAGCACACAAGTACAGGTTTCTCATTAACTGTACTGGTGCTATATGAAAAATAAATGTTTGTTTTAAAACTACGCAAACTTACATGAGAAATGTAGCTGTACATCCACTAAATATAGGGTACTTTGTTTCATAAAGCGCAAAAAGAGACAGGCATTTTTGTTTTTTAAAGCCCCTAAGGGGTTCAAACAATAGGCCCCCCCATTTCAACAAATGAGTTTTTTTTAGACTAGAAGAGGGCTGCCTTTTAAGACAGGAAAGTATAGCAGTTAAAGTTGCTACTTGAGAAAATACTGAACCATAGAGATAAAAATAGCCCTGTGGTTCAAATTATAAATTGCATTTGGAATAAAAATGAGAGAACTAGGGGTGCTAAAAAACACATCCTCCAAAGACAGATATTTACATGGGAATGTGGCATATACTTAATTGACATATTACTGATCTTGCTGGATTTTATTCTGCTTTACTTCCATAAATTGCAGGATCTTCTTTACTTTATCTTTGCCAGAAGATTTCAACTTTAAAAGCCTTGCCCTCATAATTTGCAAATTAATTTATTTATAAAGAAAATATAAACGCTGCTTAAGCTAATTCAAATGAAATTAAAAGTAAAATAAGTAGCCAACCTTATCACTGTCTGTAACCTACTAACACGGTAAGGAAAGCATCAGATGAGAAACTAACGTTACGTTTCCCCACTTTAAAATGAAACAAACATGGTTACTCATCCTGCTGATCAGCTCTCTTCACTGCCATTGAAAGCTCCAACATGTTTTCTTTTCAGGTGCTGCGTCATAACAGTGGTGCTTCCGTGCCATGTTTATTTGTTTTTACAAAAGTTGCATGTTACGACTTTTTTCACTTTACAAAGCGCAGGCTGTTTTAATTATTGTGATCAATTTGCGCCGTCAATCCCGGGGCATGCGCGCTTCATTTGCAGTCTGGACGCTGAGGGTAAACTCCTCACTAAAATCCTGCGGCTCGGACTGCAGCGCTGAGAGGGATTCTTGTGGGAGAGGGAGAAAGGCGTTGGGATGGGGGAGGCGCCCCACGGCAGCAGCTGCCGCTGGAGGACATGAGTAGGAACGATACACGCTTTCACGTAAGAGTCTCCAAAAGCCGCCAGTGACACCGTAAAAAGTCGCCAGATTTGTCGCTAGTCGCTTTTTAAAAAAATAGTCGCTGGAGGGGTCTGAAAAGTCGCTGAGTTGGCAACACTGCAACTGCGGCGCTGACTCGCTCCGCCATATTTTTTTTTCTTCCCCGGGATGACGGCGGCGGCGGATGACGCATTAATCGCGCGACACAACTAATCGATGATTAAATTCGTTGCCAACGCTTTTAAAAGTCGATTTTTATTGATTCGTTGTTGCAGCCCTACAGCCAACTCAGAGACGGATGCAGAGTCAGACTCACAGGTGACACAGACATAATATTGAAATATAAGAAACCTACAAGAATTAAAAATCAATCAATTATTTCAAACACAACTTTTAATATCTAAATTTTATTCTGCTGTTTTTAAATGAGGGTATTCACTGATACAGCAGAAAGGGAAACCATACAGCCATCCATCAGCAATCCTGTCAGGTTAACAGTTTGGATGTCCAAGGATCATACTTTGGACAATATAATGTTAGCATTTGAAGTTTAAAAAAAATAGTAATTCTGGATGGATGGATCGATAAATATATTTGTAAATATAAAGAAAAGGATGGCCAATCTTCTTAATTGAAATTGTGTACATACCAGGGAGGCATGACATATTGCTGTTGACATGTCTATCAACTGTTATTAGTCTTTTTTTTATTTTAAATATACATTTTCTAAAATCTTACTGGTGATTTTGAGCACTTAATTGTTTAATAATTTACTAAAATATATCTGTCTAACAATCTATAAATATAAATATCAGTGTACTTTGGTACTGTTGGATTCTCAGGAGTATTGAATCAATATGTTTGGAGTAATTTTTTGGAAATTACAAAAACTAGTCAAAGCAGCTGCTTAAGTGTAGATGCAGCAGCAACAACCCTTATAATCCCCACCGACTTTCATCACAAAGGTACAGCTTTGATCTTTACATTTCTATTTCTTTCTTTCAAGTTTCGTGGATCTTACTTTTCATTGACAGAGAATGACAAATCCAAATGCTAGTAGTGGCTAGAAGTGCCAGACAAAACTAAACTAACTCGCTTACAGAGGAATGCTTTTATTTTGAAACTCCACATAGCTGTTGGAGCTTAGGACTTTCTAATAACCGGGATGTAGCTGCCTTAGCATTTATAAAAGAACCGCCCACAGTTCTCTCTCAAATGTAAACTATTTACATATAGAGGTTATTATTTTCTGACCCATTTAGAGGCAACTGAACGAAGCTAAGCTAAATAGTTAGCCAGTAACTCACCATATTGCGTCGGGACGGGGTCGGGCTGGAAAGTAAAGTGAGCTGCATGTCTTCGCTGGGTCTTTAAACGGGAGTTGCAGCCCGAAGACAGCGTCAGTAAAGCATTTCCAATGCAGCTTTGCTTCCCGGTTCCAACACTGGAGATGGGAAGTGTTTGGTGGGAACCACGGATAAGAAGCCTAGCAGCAGCGGCCGCCATCACTGTTGTTATCAGAGAACAGGAAGGGCAACGATTCAAAGCTCGAAGATCGCCTAACAAAATAAAAGGCTCCTTCACTTCGCAAGGAGAATCTGTGGTTAACTTATATACTACTAAGCTCGTCATAAAGAAAAATAAATCTTAGCATCTTAAAATCGTTAAATATACATGTATACAATACATAATAATATGACTTAATACATAGTTTTCAACAAATAATAACATTTAATTCGAAAAAAATTAAATAAATTGCAGAGTGGGTACTCCCTATTTTGTCTCCCGTCGCAACGTCAACACATGTGAGCGGAGCCAGGCTGTGATTGGTCTAAAAAGGAGGCGGTTTCAGCCAATGGCCTCAGCGTTCAGATTTCAATTGGTCAAACCATAGAGTCAAACCACATTCTAGGAGAAGTTCAGTGGATTGGCACCTAGAAACTGTGGAAGCCCGTTATCGCCACATGAAAGTAAAAAATGCCAGGTAGAAATCATAATTATGAGATACAAAATCATAATTTCGACTTTCAAAGTCATAATTATAAACAAAGTCATAATTATGAGATACAAAGTCATAATTTCGACTTTCAAGGTCATAATTATAAAAATAAGTCATGATTTTAAGTTGTAAAGTCATAATTATTAGTTACAAAGTCCTAATTTCAACTTTCAAAGTCATAATCATAAACAAAGTCATAATTTTGAGTTTCAAAGTCATAATTATGAGATTCAAAGTCATAATTATGAGAAACAATGTCATGGTGAGTTAGAAACTCATAATTTCGACTTTCAAAGTCATAATTTTTAGAAACAAAGTAATAATTATGAGTTACAAAGTCAATCATAAACAAAGTCATAATTTCGACTTTCAAAATCATAATTATGAGAAACAAAGTCATAATTATGAGTTACAAAGTCATAATCATAAAGTCATAATTATTAGTTACAAAGTCATAATTTCAACTTTCAAAGTCATAATTATGAGTTACAAATTAGATTAAAAGTCATAATTATGACTTTGACACTCGAAATTATGACTTTTTAACTCATTATTATGACTTTGTATATAATTATGACTTTGAATGTCGAAATTTTTATTTTGTATGTCATATTTAAATGTCGAAATTTTTACTTTCTCATAATTATGACCTTGACAGTCGAAATTATGAGTTTGAATCTCATAATTAGGACTTTTATTTGGCATTTGTTTATTTTCATGTGGCGGAAACGGGCTTCCATAGAAGCTGACTACATGGTGAATTAAATATCAAGTCAAAAGGATCACTGATTTAGTGAAGACCTTCCGAATATCTATCGAAAAGTAGTTTGAGTTTAAAATGTATCCTTATAACTGGGTCAATCATTTTATACAGTTGCAGGGGAAATCTTGAGTTTAATTATCAAAGAGCTACGGTGGATAAAGTAGCCTAAATTGGTATTTAAGTAAGAATGACACTATTTCATCACATTGTTACTCACGTAAGAGTACAGGGTAGCCATGCAAGAAATTCCTCAAGTTAAAGTAAATAAAACTAAACAAATATTCAGTATCAAGTCTACCCAAGTACTAACTCCTTATAACATCTGATTTACTGTTTAAAATTAGCTAATAAGACAGACCAAAATGTAAATTATGAGCAACTTCTGGTAGATAACTATCTACCATAATGTAAATAACTTTACATTTAGTAACTTACAATACTATAAGCAGGGGTAGACTTAGGCAAAGTAGGCAACCACCTTGGGTCCCCAATCAGCAAGGGTCCCCAGGTGGGATATTTATTCATCTTTACAATAAAACAAAATATATGATTTTGCATCAAAACAATGAAAATAAGTAAGACATAATACAAAATAATTTTCCACTTCCCCCTTTCCAAAAACAGGAATGGACTAATTCTTCTCATCACGTAAAACAGTCAGAGGTGAGGTGTGCAGATCAAGCAAGTAGCGGGAGAGATCAGGAAGTAGAAAGATAAAGCATAACCATAAAAATATATCTTGTTTGATTAAAGACAATTTACACCAAAGCGTTTATTGTTGAAACAAAATGTAATAGTATGAATATTATTTCATTATGAAAATATTAAAGGTATATTGGGTATGTTTTCTTCATAGGGATATTTTGATATTTTATTTCTTTGTTCCCTCCTTCAAGGAGTTAAAAGCCACAACCTCTCTACCATGCAGTAGTGTTGCCGATTCAGACTCATCACCCATTTAGTATTAAGCACTGGGGTACACGGCAGTAAATTTACAGCTCCCATATGGAATCAGACCTGAACCTTCAGAGGCACATAAATGCAGTTACTGAGTCAGCATCTCCAGGATTAAAGGACTAATGTCCAAGAAGGATCTAGAAAAATGCCTTCATGTATTTATCTTTAGTAGAATTGATCACTGCAACAGTGTCTTCATAGGTTTGCCTAAAAAGTCCATCAGACAGCTGCATCTGATTCAAAATGCTGCTGCCTGTGTCCTCACAAGAAATAAGAAAGTAGAGCACATGAGCCCATTCTGAAGTCCTTCCACTGGCACCCTGTAGCTCAAAGAATAGACTTTAAAATCCTTATTATAATAAATCACTGAATAGATTAGCACCTCAATACATAACAGATGTGTTGTCAGTGTATCAATAAAATTGATAACAAATCTAGGCCGAGGAAACACTTTTTTTGGAGCAATTGGAGCACTTTTGTTTAAGACTAGCTTGTTCTTTATTCAGTGAAGTTCTATTTTAATAATTAATTTAATCCGCATTAGACTCGTAGTTTTTGCCTTATCAGGCCTCTTTTGTACAACTAGTGTATTATACAGAGAATCAGAGCCATGGAGCAGCCTTCCCACATCAATCCAAGAGGTTTCCAAACAGTTTAACACAGAATAAAACAGTTATAAATGCACAAACTTTAAATGGTTTTTATATGAAAAAATGTATTTTTTAAATACAATAACAAATACATGTTTTTAAATTGTTAAATGTAAATTGTTCCTATTTGGATTGCAATTTATTAGCCCCCTTGAAGGTTTTTCAGCATTTCTCCATTACACTTTTTTTTTGTGACACATCACAGTTTTTTGTTGTAGTTGCAAAAACAAAGAAAAAAATAAGTTTCTAACTGTAGACATCAGCCAAACATTTCACTCAGCAGTAATTATGTTTCATAAAGATTTTATTCAGGTACATTGACGAAATTTTGATTTTAGAAGTGGGGGGTAGGAGTACTTTTTAATTATCTATCTTCAGCAGTGCACCAGGAAATAAAAAGCACAGAAAGATCAGTTTTAGCATAACTTTTTTTTTTTTTATTCAGGATTATAAATATTAAGAGAAAAAAAACACATTTGGTGTAAAATTCAAGCTTATAACAGGACTGCTTCCAAATCAAAGTGGTGTAAGCAAGTTTCAGGTGCAACCGGCAGCTTCATGTGCACCATCAGGGAGGTCTAGTTTCTTCTCTGGCATCTTGGCTGTGCACCATAGAAAGGATTTATGTCATCCCAGGTGAGTCATTGCCTGGATTTCTGTGAAACGTTATATTCACATCATGAAAATCAGGCTGTTAAACGTAAAAAATTGGCAAATATATCTATATCTGTATACAGTTCTTGCCTGCTGAGAGGGGGAAATCTTACACTTGAAGCTGCACCGACAAGCAATTAATGGTAAACCAGCAGAAAAAAGAAAAGAAAAAAAAACACTAAATAATGAAATCGAACATTGATCAAGTAAAAGAGGGAATCTATACGAGACTGAAAAAATGAGACTGCTACCTTTTAGGTATTTCTGTATATTTAGGGCTACATTTGAGGATTTTCAGCATTTTAAAAGCAGTTCTGACCAAGCTCAGAAAACAGGATGCTTTCACTGGACGTATCAATTCAGGTATTATGATGCACTTGTGGCGTCAGCTTACAGCTTTATTGAAGCCCAGATATTAAGTTAAAAAGTCCAACTAACCTGATTAAATGTTTGGTGTTTTATTTTGATCTGCTGAAAAGTCCTCCTTACTCCTGAGGGGCAGGCCATTAATATGTAGTACAGTGATTGTGATGACACTGCACATTTACAGGCATTAGCTTTAAGCAGCTGTGAGAAATAAACAAAGCAACTGAGTGGGTCACAGTGTGTTTATTTGTCTAAATGATAATGAACATGTTTACAGTAACTTTTGCTTTACTAAATAAAAAGGACTGAAGATAGAAACACAGTTTTTTTTTTTTCATTCAGACATCCTATAACACAATACTTTAATAGTGGTCAAAAATTTTGAGAATGAAATAACACAATATAAACAGGAACTAAAAGAAGAAGAAAGGATTCGGGACAGTTAGGAAGAAGACTTTGCACATTCTGTGACATCAAGCCTCCTGCCGCTCCCGCATCTTTTTGCCAGATTCTGCAAAGGAACAAAACAAATGAGTGTTTGATGATTCAGGGGGAAATGATGTAGAGGATGAAACACAATAAGTTTTACCTCTGCGGCTCGGATGATGCTGTTTGGAGACTGGAGTGCTGCCAGGTCCGTTAGGATCCTTTTCAGGTCGATGTTGGACGGAGTTTCTGACAGAAGGAAAGGAACCACAGGTCAGTTTCATACAGTGATCAACGAACAAACTGCCTTTATTTATTTCAGCTCATCTGTACCTGGTTCAGGAGATGGTTGCGGCTTTAGCTGGAGGTACGGATGCTCCAACAGTTCTGCAATAGAGATTCTCTCTCTTGGGTTTCGTATCAAGCACCTCTGAAATATAAAAAATAAAATAAAATAGAATAAAGCGGAAGGAACATCACCATGAAAACATTCAAACTCCCCCAACCGTGTGTTTTATAAGAGTTTTACTCCATGCACAGTAGTGCATCTACAAAATTCAATAAACTTTATTTGCATTCCACAAATCAAGCCCATATATGATGTCTCACCTTCAAAACGTCAAGCAAATCCTTCTCTTCGATCACAGGAAACTCAATCTTATGAGAGGGATCGATGATGGCGTGCAGCTTGACGATTTGGTTTGTGATGCTCTGGAAAGGGGTTTTCCCAT